AACAAACGTAGAAAGTACATCCGACTTTGCTTTCAAAGGGAAAACCAACTGTATTTACTAAAATCATCAACAAGAAGTAAGTAATATCGGAAACCACTGCTAGATGTAACAGAAGCAGGTCCCCATAAATCACAGTGTAAAAGTTGAAGACTGTGAATAGTTGCTGAAGAAGACAGACCAAAAAGAAGCTTGTGGTTCTTTTGCCAATGCACAATCTGAACAGAAAAAATCAACTGTAGACTTGCCTTGCACTGCAAGAGTATTTGTAGATATTACTCGACGAAAAATGGCAGAAGATGGATGACCCAAGCGCCTATGCCATATCTTTATTGGAGCTTTAATACTAACAAAAGTTGATGCAGCAAGTGAAGGAGAAGCTTTACCAGAGACGAAACTAGAAGATGTAGTAGACTGCAAAGGATAAAAGTCGTCTTTAACTGAACCCCGTAAAATCGTCTTCCCCATGGAACGATCCTTAACAACGGATCCATCAGAATCAAGAGTCAAAGAACAATAATTGTCTCGAAGAAATTGAAAGGCAAACAACAAATTGTGTTGTATGTGAGGAACATGCAGAACATTTGACAGTGTAAAAGAAGAAGTAGAGGTTCGTAATGTAGATGAACCAACATGAGAAATGGACAGACTTTTACCATCACCTATGTAAACCTTGTCTTCACCAGTGTAGGGAGTAGGAGAGTTGATGTGTGATATGTCATTAGTAATGTGCGAAGTAGCTCCTGAGTCAATTAACCAAGTAGGAGAGGGCTTGGCGTTGGAACGAGCACACATTGCTTGGAGCTTGGTAAGAGGGATTCGACCACATATCTCAGGATTTATACGGTCAAAGTAGTCAAGCGCTTCATGACTTGAATTACCACAAATCTGACAAGGAGCCCGAGGACCAGAAGAAGAACCACGAGATTGAGCAAATGAATTAGAACGATTGAAACCACCAGTGAAAGAATTACCACGATGAGAGCCTCGATTGGCACGATAGGCGCCACGATTCGAATTGTAACAAAAAGAGTGCTGAAGTGGTTGATTCTGAGCAACATACGCATGAGGTAGGGTGGGAAGAAGTAGGGGTTAAGCTTGAATTGATAAGGCATGAAATGGTTCAAACATACTGAAAGAGACACCTTTCTTGCGATGATTCAGAAAGAGCTCTTTGGTAAGGAGTAAGCCATGCAATTCATCCAAAGATGTAGAAGTTAATCGAAGCATGATTGAGTCTGTGAATGATTCAAACTCATCAGGAAGACCAGCCAAAGTAGTAGCAATGAGATCGCGATAAGAAATTGAGGCTCCAGCAGCAGTGAGAGAGTCGGAGATCTCTTTGAGCTCTTGCAAATAATCAGACATGGATCGAGAACCTTTTTTAACACATTGAAGTCGAGAACAAAGCTAATGAACATGTGCATCAGAAACACCCCCAAATCTTTGTTCGAGCTTAAGCCATAGATCGCGGGAAAACGAAACGTCAACTGTGAAAGGAATCACCTTTTCAGACAATGTGGAATTAAACCAGATCAGGAAATTTTGATCCTTCTCATACCAAACTTCGAAAGCCAAATTAAGAGTGCAATCAGGCAGAAGAGGGGCGGGACAGGGTTTCGTGCCATCGACGATACCAAGAAAACGATAACACTGAAGAATCGGAGCAAACAAAGCACACCATGGCAGATATTGGTCCTCTTAAGCTTCATTGGCACCATGCTGCCAATAGTTTGGATTGTGAGAGAGGAATATGAAGAGGAATTAGGGTTAGAATATGGATTGATAACAGGCACCGACTTAGATGAAGTCGCCATGAAAGAGCAAGAAAATAGATCAAGATCAACAAGCGCAGAACAAAATCACCATAGAGAACAATCAAATCGAGGTACAGATCAGAAAATATGAGTGGAAGAGAAGAGGATCGAGAAGAGCCGTGAGGCGACTAGCAATGAAACCATAAAGAATGATAAAACTTCTTCTACAAGATTGTATTTCACTCAATGAATTTGACAATTACACAAAAGAGAATATATATAGCCTTTGGCTCTTTACAAATATACCCTTGACTACCTTAACTAAACTTGTAACAATTCTAACTATAGTTAATAACAAACTAACCACATTTAACTATCACTAAACTATTTAACATCAACAGAAATGGAAGACTTGTTATCTTCCTTAATAGTAAGTACACTTCTGGATACTCCCCATAAGTTTGACAAAACTTCCAAATGAGAATTACAAGCATTGAAAATCGGATAATTTATGCATACCAATTCCTTGAACAAGCTTATGGAAAGTAGACTTTAACACTGACTTCGTGAAAAGGTTGGCAAGGTTGTCTTGAGAACGAATCTGCTTGACTTCAGCTATCGCAATAAGAAATCGACATTAACTATAACTATTGAAAATTTGGAATGTGACTTCTTGATAAACTCGCAAGGGTATAGTTCATTACTCACATATCCCTGACTAATCAAATACTCACTCAGACAATTATAATACATCCACTTGAATTGTTTAAATCTATAGAGTGAACACCTCAATCTAATCGAGAGGGTGTTTTGTAGTCTAAAACTATTTAATCCAATCAATGTAAGTCTTTTGGGAACTTTCATATAGATTTCCGTATCAAGATCCCTATATAGGTAGCCAGTTACCACGTCTATAAGTAGTATATTCAATTCTTCAAAAACTACTAAACTAATAAGGTAAAAGAACATTATGACGTCCATTACAGGGAAATACGTCTCTTGGTAATCAAACCCAAGGCATTGAGAAAAGTCTTGTGCCACGAGGTATGCCTTAGATCACTATCTCATTCTTCTCATAACGCTTTCTTATGAAATTCACTTGTAGCCAAACGGGCTTCACATGTAGAGGTATAGGAACTATTGGCCCAAACACTATGTTTCGCAAGTGAATCAAGTTCAACTTGGACTACTTGTTTCCAATTTAACCAATTAGTTCTATTTTGACATTTATCAATGGAACACGGTTTCTCATCAATTAGCATGATATCAATAGCTACTGTGTATGCAAATGCATTGTCGACTAACATCTCATTCTGATTCCAAAGTACGTCCAAGTGTGAAAAATGTGAAACAAATATGCAAACACTCGTGATCGCATCTTTACGCTTTGATGATGGGTACATCATTTTTTGGACTTTTAAAACTCTACAAACTCTCATGAATAGTGTTTTGAGATGGAGTTCAAAATGTGTAAATAATTCATTTACAAGTGCAAAAAAGTGAAAAATTATGCCAACGCTTGTTATTGCAACCTGTATACTTTGACGATGGTTACATCGTCGTTTGGAACATTAGAGTTTAGGATTTAGCGTATGTAGATATTAATTTAGGGACAAAGTGGTATGCAGATACTAATTTGGTATGACGTTTTTCATTTGATTATATATTAAAAAAAATTATATTTTTAACATGTAATGGGTCGGGTCATATTATGTGTTAATTTTAAAGGATCGAGTCATATTACCCATTTGTTTTAAGGAGTTTGACACGACATGATTCGTTATGATATCAGGCATGTCACGAAAACGACACAAACACGACATGATTGTCAGGTCTAATTCATTCAAAGATTGAAGTCCTGGAAGTGTAAATGCTGCCAGTCGTGTCTTACTTTATGCAAAAATATATCTTTCTAGTGATCAAAGCGAGCCAGATAATGCATGGATCTTCTTCAGTTAGGTATTCAGTTTGCAGTGCATCATGCATATGTGAGAAACTTTGGGAACACAAGATACATGTATAAGATATTGGATCATAATTCATAAAAGGTGGGTTGATGGTCAAGAATATGTTTTTTGTCGAACTTATATACTACAAGTCACTTAATTAATCCAATAGGCCGGATCCAAATAGGGATCGAGAGTGGAAGCAAGAAAATATAGTGGTTCAGACCCATATTTGGGCCAAGTGGCTGAGGGCCGGTGGGAACCCTAGAGTTGAGCTTAGCCCGTAAGGATAGGCACCCCAGCAAAAGCTGGGTTCGGGCTGAAGCAAAGAAAAATGCCCATAAAGGGTTTGGGCTTAGAAAAAAGGGCACCAACAGTAACCAAGGTGGGCCGAGTGAGCAACAAGCCCAATAGGGTTGCAGGTTATTTCAGAGAAAGCCCATCAAAGATGGGTGTCGGTTTAGCTGGAGAAGATCAATGGCGCTGCCTCTAGTGACAGTATTCTTAAACAGAAGTGGCATATGCAGGTGCGGCCCATTGGTCTCGAAGGTCAGCGACGTCTTGAAAGACGGCATCGAGGGTTAGTTCGTGACGGATGGGTCCAAAACCAATGATAATTGAAGTGAATCCCACAAATCACGATGAGATTTGACTTGAATCTCGATGTATGTCGTCGAAGACGACGATGTTTCATCGAGCCCAAATGGGCGATGATAGAGATGACACAAAACGACGTCGTTTTTGAGTTTTGGAACAGGAGTGGCTTGGTTCCGTGTGCGGCACAGCTTGGCGGCTTGGGGACGTGGTTCACACGTGATTAGGGTTTGAAAAAATCTTAATTTTGCTTCTATTTTCATGCTTTCCTTTGTACTCAAACACTTCACCATAGCAATATTGAATAATACACTATAATATTACATAGGCATGAACAACATATATAAAAAATATTGTGTATTCATGAACAACATATATAATAGAGCAATATAAGCAATATATAAAGCAAAATAAATTTGGGGTTCATGCATCATGCTAAATGTTTTCATGCTATAAAGGCTTATAAAATATTGATTTTGTGTTTGAGAAGTTACTTGATTGAATGGAAACGATGGAAGCTTTTGGTTGTAGAAGATCCTTCTCCAAAATCCTTCTGTTCCTTAGAACAGCAACATGACCGTGCTGATATCATGTTGTAGGTCTATTTTACTGAACGAAAGAGAAAGAGAGGGCTGGCGGCAGGGAGAGAGAATAGAAAGAGTTTAGGAATTTTGTGGTGTGTCATTTGTGCCTTTATTTATAGTGATAAGGAAAATAGAATCTTACTCTTCAAGTAATACAAATACAACAAGGAAAGATCTCATAGAATCCTATACATAATTTACTAAGATTTACAAAATTACAGTCCTAATGAAATTAGAATTGCAACAATATATGTATATATTTCCACTTTCTAGTTGGAAATACACATAAAATGGACTAGAAAATTTGTTTTTTACAGCTCTTGTCACCGTTGAAGACATGAAGAAAATTATAAAGGAATGCGGCCACATTGTGATTCCCTGCATGCTAGTGTCGAGCCAGTTATGGCCAAAATGTCAAAGCACTGTGACTTTATTGTGATTGGAGGGTTCAGAGGTACTTTCTGCCACATGGAAATGAAGAGACGGGAAGAGAAGTACTAGTAGTCTAGTACATTTTTACCATGTAAAAGTTGTAACTAGGAATTAAATCGTAAAGTTGCTCAAACTGCACCTGCATATCAGACTAGTCAATAGAGTATACATGGTATCCCAACTGATCTCATTGCCATGCAGGTGAACAGAACCACATTGTTCTATGTTCAAGACTTCAAGTTCCTAAATTAGTTAAACACAACAATCAACATCGTCCACAAGTATTTCAAATTTGAACTGGGAGAGAAATTGAAGCTTATAAGTTACAAATAAAAAATTTGAGAAATAGATCGTCGATCCCCTTGTAACTTGTTGGCTTAGTGGTACAATCAAGGGTCGGTAGGCATTGGGTTCCACTAGCACCCAGTTGGATCATCGTTGAATTACCAAAAAAATAATAATAATTAAGAGAGAGGTGGATCAAAGTATGACTGCAAAGGAAAGAAATCCTACTGAATTCAGACACCAAATCAACTTACAACCCGTTAACCCCAATTACCATGCATTATTGGTGTTATTTGAGGCCAAAGTAGGTTGCCTCTGCAAAAAAAGAATGTTGATCTTGTGGTACTACTACTGCTTGTTGGCAGCAGGTTTCATAGTCTGCAACCATTTGAGTACTATAAACCAGTGAGTTTATGTCTCCCCAACTAATTTCACTCTCTGCAGAAGCAGTACTGGTCCCTGCACTGCTACCGTTGTTCAACGTCTCCTCGGAGGCTTGATAATAAAAACCACCCAGTTGCTGATGCTGATGAGCAAAACTGTTGTCGTAAACCTCCAATTCAGTTAGCTGGTTAAGATGATCAGCCTGTAGATTGTTATTCTGATCGTCCAGCCCATGAAATATGGTTGGACTACTTGAACCCCCAGTACCGTTACTAGCATCAAAGTTTGTGCTTGGAAATTGAGAATAGTTATTACTGTTGGCTGCTGAAGTAGAAGCAAGAACATCAATGGAGCTCTGATAGAATTGGTGATCTGATGACGAGGTGGACGAAATATCAACTGGGTACTGAAAACTTGTGGTGCTAGTGTCAGAATCATGGGAAAATCTTCCTCCAAGATTGATGAGCATAGTCTTAATGGAAGCCTCATCCTGCATGAGTTGAGGGTCATGTGTTTGATAATTAGCCACTGGCACTACTGGTAGCTCTGGCCAGTTATAAGGGTTTTGGTTGAAAAACCCAGCAGAGATATTAACAAAATTTGCATTATTTTCTGATCTTTTGATCATCTCTTGCTTAAAGATGGCAGCGCGGCGACTCTGCTGAGCCTCCTGTTGTTTACGCTGCTTGCCCAAGAGCTTTTTCTTCAGCCTTGTGTTCCAGTAGTTCTTAATATCGTTGTCCGTTCGCCCTGGTAACTGGGCTGCAATGATAGACCACCTGTCCAAAAAAAAAGTACTACTTAAAATTCATAAAGTGATAAACTTCCAAATTTGAAGAGCATTAAAAACTAAGATATATAGCCTTGAAATTGTTAAAAATATACCTGCTTCCAATACTCATGTAGAGGCTGCAAATGATGTTATCTTCTTCCTCTGAGAACCCGCCGTGCTTGATATTCGGCCGTAGATAATTCAACCATCTAAGTCGACAGCTTTTGCCGCACCTTCTAAGGCCTGTCGTTGATCATGAAAAGTAGTACAATAGTATTGATGAAAAGTGATCAGCTAATAATTAAAAACATAGGTTGGATCATGATCAATAATTTTGTTAATTAACTGGGATGAGGAGGATCTGAAGTGATTAATTACTGACCTATCTTCTGAGGTAAGGTAATCCAGTTGCCGCCGGTGCCATGCTTCTCGATATAAGCCTTGAGTGTAGCATCTTCTTCAGGTGACCAAGGGCCTTTCTTAACGTTGGCTTTGTCACAGCAAGGAGCTCTGCCCATGGCTTTTTCTTTAACCTGGCTTCTTCTTTTTTTCCGGATGTGTGGGTTATGTTGTGATGTACCTTGGTTTAGCTATATATGTATCAGCTAGCTCCCCCTTTATGATTACCAATTGATGATAATTTCAAAAAGTTTATGATAATGTTAATATAATATATGTAAGAGAGAAAGAGAGAGAGTATAATAGCTGGAGAGCTGAGGAGATGGCTGGGGACATGGAAAGGGTCACAGAAATTCAAAAAGTTGAATTGAAAAAAGGGTGAGCCTTTACCTATAGAATATTAGAGAATTCGAAATGCCAGAACAGGAGACCAGAGTTTTATCTCATTGTCTCTCTCTCTCTCTCTCTCTCTCTCGAAGAAACATAAGATAGTGGATGATGATGACCATCAAAAAATAAGTGACGCAACTAGAAGCTTTAAAGAGTTGAAGCAAACAAAGCAAACATCATCAATTGGTTTGAACTCTTCCACTGGTTTATGACCGTGAATGGTTCCTCAAGCCTTTAGTAAGAAGTTAAGAATAATTCGTCCAGGCAGCCATTATCATGGTCTTGATATGCAACACAAGGAACGTGTGAAATGAAAACACCACGTGACAATGTTTCATGCACACATAAAAATTCTATAGCTAGTCAAGATCTTATTTTAAGCATGAGTTAAGGTATTTTTCCATTATTTAAATTTTTGTTTTAAAGGTAAAAAAAGGTTTATCTATATAAGTAGCGTCTATGACTTATATGCAAAAATGTTACTTTTACCATATTTGTACATTACAATTTTACTTCTAATAGAGATGAAATCCACATATGTTAGTGACCCCACCTCTATTAGAGAAGTGATACAAATGTATTATGTAAAATAGTAATTGTAGAATTACTGCTTAAATAATATATTTACTTAGATGACTATTTCAAGTCCCTTTCTCTGGTTTTGGAGTCGTTGGGGTTGGTTTTCGATGAAAATACCAAGAGGGTTTTGAGGTGTTAATTAGGGATAATTTCTTGTGACGGAACACACCACTATATGTCAGCCCCCCATGGTGGATGAGGCAGTAACAGTCGCTATATACTTGATATAAGAAAATTGTGTCCTCCATCTAATATGGGAACAAACAACCAAAATATATTTTATTTACTTGAAAAGGGAAAACTCTTTATGAATTATTATGTATTCGGTTCACCTGGATAACATAGAAGGTAAAGAAATGGGATTAGTCTTGTAAAGAGAAGATGTTCATTACTCCTTGGATTAGACTACATGACATTCTCAATTGGACTACCGGCGGCTTCTAGTGTAACACAAGTGGGGAATTCTTTCGTGGCTAGCATTATTTATTGGCACTCTTTCTAACTTCTTACATCTTGTATATAATATTTCTTTTCATATTTACACATTAGAGTCAAATAATATTTGTAGACCGTAAGTTCATAAGTATGGACAACAAATGCATGAAAAAACTAAATGTAATCAATGATTTAAATTTACAATTTGACAAAATAAACATCTTATATTCTTAAAGTCTGGAAAAAAAAAAGATTCAGACTATTTAGCTATAATGTAATTGACACGTAGATTATTGCACCAATTATTGTTACTACATGTTAAAAAATAAATCAACTGAAACGTGTTGCTAATGTTGTCAGAAAATGTGATAACCTTTTCTTATAAACTTTGTAGTAGTAAGAGGTTAAGAAATTAAAAGTGTATTATACTCTAATCATTTTCCCATTATGTATACTAGCTTTCATGCCCATGCAGAAGACATTTTTTGAATCACTGCATAATACGCACGACTTACACGTTTTAAATGTATTTAGCGTAAATTGACAAAAGGAAAGTTAAATATTGAAGTAAACGAATAATCTTAGATCATGCTAAAAGAAAGCCCTCATAAACCAATTAAAGCAGCTGAATTCACATAATAAAATCGGTCTCTATAGAATTTACATTAAGAATAGAGAAAATAATATGTAATAAACAATTGATTGAATCACATTATTGCTAGCTCATTGTGAGGCTCGGCTCATCTCCTTCCCCCTTAGTGTAGATAATATTGTTTGTTAAAAATAAAAAATAAAAAAAATCATTTGACAACTAATTTAATCACATTATTATCTGCGAAAGACTTTTTTTATAATTAGCATTACACGCATCTTCAGATGTTTTGAACGTGTTTTAAAATAGAGAAATTAAATCACATTATTACTAGCCTATTGTGAGGCACTAATTAAAAAAAAACACAAAAAAAATTAATTATTAAAAAAATACTGTTAAAATGATGAAAATGCCTGTCTTATTTGATGCATTATTTTGGGATGCCTTTGAAGTTTTTTGTCTTGGGGGCATTTTTGTCCAAATTTTGTTGTTGAAGCTTGGTGACACCAAAATCACTATTCACTTTTCCATTCTCTTTATATATAGATATTGACAACTAATTTAATCACATTATTATCCGCGAAAGACCTTTTTTATAATTGGCATTACATGGCTCTTTAGATATTTTGAACGTGTTTAAAAATAGAGAAATTGAATCATATTATTACTAGACTATAATGAGGCACTAATTAAAAAAAAAAACAAAAAAATTAATTATTAAAGAAATACTATCAAAATGATGAAAATGTTTCTGCCTTATTTGATGCATTATTTTGGGATGCTTTTGAATTTTTTGTCTTTGGGACATTTTTGTCCAAATTTTGTTGTTGAAGCTTGTTGACACTAAAATCACTATTCACTTTTCCATTCTCTTTATATATAGATACTTTGAAAGCTGAAGTACGGGGGGGCCACAGGTATTTACCATTGTGTGGAATATAATGGAAAGGTATTTCGTTACGGTAAACGAAACACCACCAATAGAAGAACTAAATCACCGTGAAATTACCAATACCATGAGATTAAATCAGAAACTGTGATGTGATACTAAGATATGACAACGGGTGTCGTGTGACAATATTGCTTACAAAGATTTCAAGAAGAATAGTGTTATTGATACATTTGTTTTTTTTTAATTTTTTGTCTTAATATTTTTTAATTCGTTTAATCTAATGGCAAAAAAATTAAGAGAAACATGTAAAAAGTAAAAATAGGTGTATAATAACACTACACTTTCAAAAACTTCTCACGTACACCACAGAACAAACTTGGCAGCAATAATGGGTTTAACAAGGGTTTAATTAATTAATTAATTGAACACTGATGGACCATTGTAGTTTATAAAGCAGCCAATTATGCTAATGACACATGCCATATTTGGACCCTATTGGCATAATAAATATGATCAAAGACTTTACGAGACTAGTGTACTTGTTTATATTAGCATTCAGCCACCAGTCACATACAGGAATTCCACCGTCAATTTTATTATATCACATATAGACCTTCTGATAATAATTTATTGTGGAGTCTGTTTTTTCATGATTTTGATTAAGTGAGTTAAATATAATAATTTAATATCAAATTCACTAACTATAAGAGTCAAATCTAAAATCTTTAACTTTTAAATGAAGATTAGGAATACGGCAAAATCATAGTACTAAGTGAAAATTCATTATGATGTAGCATCAAATTTGAGTTATTTTAGATGCAATACAATTAAAATGAGGAAGCTACGTTTAATGAAAAAAAAGTGATTAAAAAATTAAAAATTCGAATACTATTTGTTGTTGTCATGTCTTGAAAGTTAATGTTCTAAACTTTTAGGTTGCTCCACAAGAGGAAAAAAAAAGAACAAGGTTCGGTGTTAACAAATATCTGAGACTTTAGTCCCCAAGACTTGTTTTCCAGAAACTTGCACTAAGTTTTTGGATTATTGGTCTTGTGACCATTCCACTATAAACACTTATGCCGTATTTATTATATTTTAGGAAGTCTTTATAATTTTATTATTTCATATTTTAAATTTCTTTTGGAGTTATAAAACTATATAAAGGTTGTATTTCAACATTCATTCATATTTATTATCAATTAAACTTTATAGAGATTTCAGTATTTTTTTTGTTGTATTCCGGCAGTATGCTCTTCCGCTTATGTTTTAGGATTTAATGATGATTGATCCTATCTATCTCGTTTCTCATTGTATCTATTATAGAGTTTTTTTAATTCTCGTAATTGATATTTTACAATAATTTACATAGAAGTAAGGGAGAGAGTTTAAGATTTTTTTTTTTTTTTGGTTGAATTTGAAAGAAAATTTACATCACGAGAATCGATCAGTATCATTCTTTTGATTATAAAATTATCTTTAATGTTCTTCATGAGAGGGCCAGCTTAATTATTGAAGGGAAAGAACATAGAAAAAGAGAAAATGGACACCAAGGAAGAAGTATTGGCTGACTTGACTCAGTATGAAAGGGTAAAAGTCAAAGGTGGGCTTGTACAAAATGGTGGTTGATTTTTTATGATGCTAAGATTTGCCTTGATTTTCTTTTTTATCATGTGGATATATGCATAGTTTGGTAATGTAATTGAGATTCAATTTATAAATTAAATAATATAAAAGTTGATGATTAAATTATTACTTAATTGTTAATTTAACGTGCTTATTTCTTAATTGTGACACATTATGTAGTTTGCAAAACTAATCTACAAATTTAATCTACTTAGAATTACTCATGTGGTCTCAACAAGTTCATGAAAGTTTTTGGAAGGAAAATAATACATAAAGTTTAGGAATTGGGTTTTATAATGAAAGAAAAAAGTAGCTAGTAATAAAGTAAGGTCGAAGTTGAAGGAAGTACATTTTGATAAAATGAAGGAAACGGTCATCATGTAGGCCAAGCAAACTGACTCTCTCTCTCTCTCTCTCTCTCTCTCTCTCTCTCTCTCTCTCTCTCTGTGGAAACGGTCTTCTTGTTAGGCCAAGTAAACTGACTCTCTCTCTCTCTCTCTCATGGTTTCTTATTCAACTTTTTGATATCTTCTTTTTTCTGTGCCTGATCGTAGACCAACTTAGTGTGAAAGGGTTCTTTTGACAGGGTTCAAAGCGCAATACAGCTCAAGGCCACTTCCTTCTCGAGGACTTTTTTTCTAACCAAACCAAAGCAATACAGCACAAGTACAATCAAGAAATGGAAACAAAACTGTTCTTCATGTGTGAGCTAACTTTCATGAATTGCTGCAATATAATCAACTAATTTGGCAACCACAAATTAGAAACTTAATTATTTGCCACCAACAATCGAGTGGAATTAACCTTATTTCCCGGACAAGTAGTAAGGTTAGGATATGCACTACATGTGGATGACTAAATGCTTCAATTGATTATGTACAAATATGATATTTGAATGGCGATAAAGAAAATAAACTATTATAATTAGGACTTTACTATATGATTTGAATACATTATTCATTTTAGTTGGTCTACAAGGAGGTGCACCCATATATGCAAGAACACAAGTACTGCTGGAATAGTTAATTAGTTAGGTTTTTTAGTTTATTATTATTTGGGAGTTTATTTGTAGGAAG